CTTCCTGCTCAAAGGCTCTCAAAGTGAAACCATTTTCTATTCCTGTAAATTCTTGCAACACCAATCCAGAAAATGGCCTCAGGGTTTGTCTGATCTGACCAGCTCTGTAACACAGTTTCCTGAATTAACTCTTACAAGAAATGGAGGATCCAGCTAAAGCACTGCCAATAACGGAGAACCCATCACATCTGTTTTGCAAGTTATTTCACCTTTACCTTCACAGTTACAAAACTCTTCCTTCCTTCTAGTCTAAATTTCTCTAAGTCTTATTTTTTCTGCACGCTCTTAACTTCGTCTCCCTGGGACTCAGCAGCTGAGAAGAGTGAGCTGGATATCCTTAAGAATAAGCCTCTGCCCTTGGTGCAGTTCACTCCAGTGCTTTTGCTATTGGGTCACATCCTTTCTGTGTATATCTCTCTCTAAAAAGGAGATTAAAGGTACAGAAATACATGTTATTCACGGCTTGTTTGGCAAAGTTCTTCCACTTGGGTGTCCTATTGGGACACTCTCTTCCATAGGATAAGATTGGCCTCACCAAGAGGTGAGCACGCCCTCAGCAAAAGAAATTCCTACAGTTTTTTTTAATGGCATTTAAGAAGGAAACCAAATAGGACGAAGAAAAATGCCCTGTGCCCTGATGATATTTCTTTTGTTTCCTGAAACATATAAACCACTCAACAATATTTAGATTCTCCCCCGTGCCCACCTCCTGCCCCTACACAACTTACTTGGCTGTGGTGCTGCAGCACTGCCACTTGCAGCTATCCTATGTTTTAGCTCAGTGGTAAAAGCCTAAGGAGAGAAGAAAGGTACCAAACACAGCATTTCACAGTTTATACATGGAACGTTTCTACAATTAAGATTAACAGCCATGTAGCTCTTGCTGAGCCCCCTAACAGAATATACAGTCACATTCAGGTGTCACTAATAAAAGCAGAAGACCCAGCTGGACAGTGTGATAAGAGGTAAAGTCTCTGAATTGCCAGAACTCCTCTGTCAAAAGACAAGAGAGCATCTGCAGGCATTTACAGCCAGCAGTGAGGCCAATTTTGTCTGCAGCTT